GTGCACACACCTACACATCATGCATGCACACACATGCACACACCTACACATCACACGTGCGCGTGCGCACACGCACATACACACATTGCTCGCGGTCTACGTGCTGACGCACACTGCGGGAGCTTCTCCACCAACGGCAGAGGTAAACTTTCTAGGTTCCCACAGATTGGTTTCTCTAAACAGGCAAACTTAGATTTCAGCTGAGCGTATAAGGCTTAAGCCAGCCTGGCACGCGATGTCTTCTGTTTTAGGAAGGCTGTCGGCACCCCTCAGTGCAGGGGGGGCGTTCTGGGGGTCCTCTTCCTCCAGGGGCCACAGAGCTTCCCGCGAGCCTGCACGTTTGTCGTAACTGACTTCACACCTCATACGACTTTTCCCAGCCAGCTGCTAGCGTCGGCCCATTTTCAGGAGGTGGAAAGCGAGGCTTAGGGAGGGCTGGCCCTGGCGAGAGGAGGGTGGGGGCGCAGTGGAGCTCCCCACTGTTCCCGGGGACAGCCCGTGAGGCCGAGGGCTGCCCATGGTGGGCAGCGCACCCCAGTTCCCAGAGCAGTGGCTGCAGAAGCACGCGGCCTCTGGAGAGGGTGGGGTGGGGCAGAGCCTGCAAGATGGGGGTTCTCAGCCCCTCGACCGACCAGGGGATCCCCTAGCTCCACAGCGCCTCAGGCTGCCCGAGTGTTCCTGTCCTGGTGTCACCACCCCTTGCCAACATGGCCCCTCCCAGAGGTGCTGGCCGAGGGCGACACTTCCCTTCTCCCCCATTTCAGACAGATTAGAAGAAGCCGAGTTTGACCAGCTGGAAGAACAAGGTAGGTTCTTTCCACAGGGCAGAGTTCCTATGGGGATGGGCGGGGCCTTGGGGGATGATGCCAGGCAGAGGCTGCAGGGCTGGGTACAGATGGGGTGCTGGGCCGGGACCTCACACCTTCGTGGGGGAGGGCGGGCAGGTGGGGCGTCCGGCCCTGCAGGGGAGGTGGATGAGGTAAAGGTGAAGCCCCCCGCTGCTGTGGTAGTGGGTCCCCCGTGAACACGCCAGCCCTCCAGCTAAGGCGGCGGCGTCCTCTCCATTGCCTGAGCCCATGCCCAACCATGGTTCCTTTCTTGAAACCTAGACCAGCTGAAATTCTCTGCTTTGAGAAGGTGAAGGGGGTATAGGGCCTGTATTTGGAGCTTCGTGCTGCAGAAATCCCTCTAGGATCCGCCTCTTCTTCCCCCTGGGAGCTGGTTAAGGGAGACCCCCTCCTCCTTCCACACCACCATCTCGTCCCCCCACAGAGGGTCTGCATCAGGGAGATCCTGGGGACTTGAATGCCCGAGGTCCCGTTGGGGTTCCTTGGGAATGGGGTCCACCTAGACGCAAACAGGGAAGGGCCACTTTGGGTATTGGAGAAGGAAGGTTCTGGATATTCCAGGGCTACTCCCGGGCCCTCCCTGCAGCCCGGGGCTTGCTGAGTGAGGGGAGGCAGGACCTGCCAGCGTTGGAGGGGGTGGGGGCACATTCACACCCACACATCAGGTAGTCAGGTCAGACATTTGCCCCTGAACCACACTGAATTCTTTTTTATTCCTGGCCTTTATAGACTAATAAAGAGAGTTAGTTCTGAACATATTTTTTGCATGTGAACTCAAAACACGAGAGTCTTTAGATGCTGGTTCTTTCCTTCCAAACACATTCCTCTTTAAGCTCATGTTTTCCCAACAGGAAGCTCAGCCCTGCATGTGCCTTCGGGCACTGGCTCCGTCCAAAGCCAACAGTCCGGTGGGCGGGCGCTTTGGGCAGCGGGCGTCCCCAGATTCTCCAGCACCTTGTCCCTTTAGTAGCTGTGGACCTCGGATTCTCAAACCAGCCAGGGGGAAGGTGCAGACCCGGGGGTCTGGGAGCCATTCCTCATCTTTCCTACCAGACATGGCCCCAGACCAGAGCTGGACAGAGGGACACAGACATCGCTGTCCTCCAGCGGTGCGGGTTTCGTCCGTTCTGTGGGTGGCTTGTGAGCACCTGCTGACCCATAGCTCTGACTGGCTCATAATGATTTTTCACGGGGGTCCTGCACCTGACAGGAGACCCCCAAGTACTGGGAAATCCCACGGAGGCGGTTGTAGCCGGGAACGTGGACGCGTCTGTCCGTTAAGTGGCTTTAATTCTTTCTGGAGGGCAAAGGACTCCGAGTGATCGCAGAGCGGTGCTTTCAAACGGGAAGCATAGGAAGGGGTTACCGGGTGAAAAGCTTGGCCAAACCGATCCTTATTCTTGTAACCGTGTTTGAGCTCCCCCTGAGTGCTGGGTGCTGGGCTCTGGGCTCGGCGTTTCACGTGAATTTTGGTGCTCAGGTAGGGGAGGCTCAGGCAGTACATGCCAGGGACACTGAGGCTCGGAGGGATGTCCCTACCCCAGTCTGGACCCCGATCAGACTCTAATCCATCCGGGGGGGTTGGTGCTTTGCAGAAATGCCTCAGCCTTGCCTGCACCCAGAGCCACGTGAGACCCTCCAGAAGGTGAAGAATGTTCTAGAGCAATGCAAGTCCGGCCGAGGCTGCCCCGAGGAGCCGGTGTCCTGGGGTCTGTGCACGGCGTCCAGTGGTGCAAGCTCACGGGACAGCGAGGAGCCCTCCTTCTGCTTGGACGCGGGCGCCGACTGGGCCCACCCGGAGGCCCTGGGCTCGCTGCTGCTGTTCCTGGACGCGCCTGGGTACAAGGCCTGCTTCCGTGGCCTGTACGACCTCTCCCTGCCGGGGCTGAGCACCCTGTTCTGTGGCTTCAGCGACGAGAAGGAGCTGGCCGGGCACTTGGCACAGGCCCGGGCGGCGGCCAAGAAGGCCGGCTTCCGCATGGCCCTCGCCAGGCTCTGCTTCCTCCTGGGGCGGCTGTGTGTGCGCAGCCTCAAGCTGTCCCAGGCCCGCGTATACTTCGAGGAGGCTCTGGGGGCGCTGGGGGGCCGCTTTGGCGACCTCTTCCTGGTGGTGGCCGTGTACGCCAACCTGGCCACCATTCACCTGAAGCAGAAGAACAGGGACAGGTGTGCGCGGGTGGTGCCCAAAGCCTCGGCCCTGCTCCTGGGGACGCCCGGCCACGTGTGCAGCACCGAGGCCGAGTCGGAGCTCCTGAGGCATGCCCTGCGCCGGGCCATCCTCTGCCGGAGCCCCCAGGCCGAGGCCCGGGCCTGCTTCCTGCTGGCCAAGCACCACGCCCGCCTCAAGCAGCCCGAGGCGGCGCTGCCCTTCCTGGAGAGGCTGCTGCTGCTGCACGCGGCCTCGGGCTCCCCGGAGGCCTGCTGGCCGGCGGACGGCTACCTGCTCCTGGCCGACATCTACAGCCGCCAGCGCCTGCCACACCTGGTGCTCAGCTGCGTCAGGGCGGCCTCGCTGCGGGCCCGCGGCTCGCCGGGCGGCTCGCTCCGGAGCGCGGACCTGGTCCTCCGGAACTCGCCCCGGCGCCACCGGCCGCCCTCCCAGACAGCGCCCTACCTCCGGCGGGCACTGGCCTCGGCGGCCTCGGGCCCCCTGCGCGGCCCCCTCTGCGCCAGCCTGGCCCGGCTGCACAGCCACCACGGGCAGCAGGCCAGGGCCATCGCCTGCATGACGCAGGCCGTGGACGCGGCCGTGGGCGCCGGCGGCCGCCTGGCCGTGGACTACGTGGTGGCGCTGGCCTGGTTGTACGTGCTTCACGGGCAGAGCGCGGTGGCCCTGGACATCCTCGAGTCCGTCCTGGACGTGGCGGTGGCCAGCGTGGACCAGGAGGGCGCGATCGCCAACGTGGCGGCCGTGGCCCTGAGGAGGACCGGCAGGACCCGGCAGGCGGCCGAGGGCTACTACCGCGCCCTGCGAGTGGCCCGGACCCGGGGCCAGCTGCGGAACCAAGCGGTGGTCCTGGCCAATTTCGGGGCCCTGTGCCTGCAGGCCGGCGCGGGGGGCCTGGCCCAGCACTACCACCTGGAGGCCGTGAAGCTCTTCTCGCGGCTGCCCGGCAGGGAGCGCGGCCAGGACTTCACCCGGGTGCTCTTGAGGCTGGGCCACCTGTATACCCGCAGGGCCCTCGCCCGAGAGGGCAAGTGTTACTACGAGTGGGCCTTTCTGGTCGCCGTGGAGACGGACCACTTGGAGGGTAAGCGTCAGCCGCGCCCGCTTCCCGGCCCCACTCTTCCCCGGGTCGGGGTCCACGCGCCGGCTTCCTGGGAGATAACGTGTTTTCTTTCCATGTCCGCCCAGAGCGCGCCTGGGGTTTGCGACCCGGAGGCAAGCGGTGGTTTTCCCAGCATCCAGAGTGTTGAGTGGTGGAAACCTGCAGATGCTTGCAGGTGCCTTTGAGGCTGGCTGGGGGGCGGCTCTCAGAGCACGCCAGGCTCTGTGCAGGCTCCGCTGGTGGCCAAATGTGGGAAACTGATGCCCAGGTCACAGGAGGCACAAAAGGGGGTACTCCTCGTGATGATGGGAGGCTCCTGGCCCCGACTCATGGGACCTCAGGGTTGAGGAGGATTTAGCCAAGCATGGGATGGAGGGCAGGCAGAAGGTGCAGCCCATGCAAAGGCTCTGGGGTGAGAGGCTGGGCCATGCAGGGAGATGCAGAGTTTGGGATGGGTGCATTGGCTGGTGGGTGGTGAAAACCCAAGCAGGGGCCAGGGAATCCAGACTGTGGGCTGGCATTTTCCCCGAGAGCACTGGGGAGCCACTGAGGGATATAGGACACTCACTGAGCCTGGAAGGGGACCTTCTGGACCCCTAGGAGGAACCAAGAGCCGGGTCCCTACACGTGCCCTGCAGCCTCAGGCAGGTCCTGGCTGCGCTCACAAGGCCCGCTGTCCCCCTCCCCCCGTGCTAAACCTCAAGGACACTGAGGGTAGCTCCATCCTCTCTGAGCTGGTTTTGGTAGCTTGTGTCTCCCTAGGTTTGTCCGTTTTATTGAGGTTGACCTTTGTCAGCATAAATCGTTCATCCTCTTCTGTGCCTTTCGTTTCTGTCAGATTGGTGCTAATGCCCCCTCATTCACTGCAGATTCTGACAACTTTACAGCTTTTCTTCTGGTCTGGCTAAAGATGAGTCCGTTTTGCTCATCTTCCCGAAGATCCATCATTCAGTTTCATTCATTTTCTCTCTCGGTTTTTCTCTTCTCGATGTTACTATTTTATCTCTGCTCTTGAACCTTTGTTGTTCCTTCCTTTTGCTTGCTCTGGGTCTAGTTACCTCCCCTTTTTGGTGGAAGTTTAAATTTTTTATCTGAAATTTTTCTTTTTTAATGTAGGCATTTAGAGCTAGAAAGTCCCTCTAAATGCTGCAGTCCTGCATCCTGTAGGTTTGGGTACGTTGTGCTTTTATCTCCACTCATCTCCAAACACCGTCGAGTTCCTGTTGTGATGTCTTCCGTGAGCCGCGGGCTATTTAGGAGCACGTTTTTTGCACCCACATACCCGTGAATTTCCCGAACTTCCTTCCTACTGATTTCTGGTCTCGTTCCATGCTCTGTAAGACGCCCGTCCCCTCACATGTACTGAGAATTGCTCTGGGACTCGGCACATGATCTGTCCCGGAGAGTAGGACGTGTGAGGTCGCATGGGTCACGGGGTTGTTCCGATCGTCTGTGTCCTCCTTGATGTCTGGATCGGTTTAGTGGGGAAAGCGCTCGACCGCCCTCAGCCCCCTGGTTCAGGCGAGGCAAGTAAGGCTGTGGGCTCGGAGCCCGGCTCCGTAAAGGAGCTGGAAGCTGGGTCTGAATCCCAGCCCCACCATGCGCTGTGTGGTCCAGACCCGGTACTCTGCTTCGGACTCAGCGTGCCCACCTGCCGTGTGGGGAGGCTGGTGCCGTCTGCCGGTCAGTGTGGTGCGAAGGCAGCCCCTGTCTGGCCGGGAGGGGTCTTGGGAAGCAGAGGCAGGCTGCCCGGCGTGCTGGGAGGGGCTGGCCAGGACCCCCAGGCCTGGGAATCGTGGAAGTGGTCAGCAGCGTGTCTGTGACATGCCCTGCCTGGGCTCCCCACGGTGCGCCTCGGCTGCTCGACCTTGAGCAGGGGGCCTAGCCTGTCTGAGCTCAGTTTCCCCACCTGCCACGACCCCGGCTGGAGGCACGGAAGACGCAGGCACGGAAGACGCAGGCACACAGCGGGGGCCTTTGAGCCCTGCAGATGTCCCATGTCACTGCAATGCACGATGGTGACGTGCTCCTCCTGTACCCCCACCCAGGCCAGCTGCGAGCCGTCCAGCAACTGTGTCACTTCTACAGCAGAGTCTTGCCCAGTAAGGCCCAGTGCGTCGTCTACCACGAGTTTCAGCTCTCGCTGGCCGGCAGGGTGGCCGACAAGGCGCTGGAGGGCCAGCTCCTGGAGACCCTCAGCCAGCTCTACCTGTCGCTGGGCACTGAGCGGTAAGGACACCGGCCCTGATCGGGGGGCAACCTCTCCTTAGGGACTGTTTCATTCCTGGTGTCAGACAGGCTCTGAGTCGGCGGGCCTGGGGGTCGTCCCGACCAGGGCTCGTGGGTCCCAGGACAGCTGTCCTCCGCCCACACACCTCCCGACCTCCCGGTGGAGGCAGCGTGTGCATTTCTGGGCCATTCTTCCTGTCCTGGTGGCTTTAGTAAGCTGACCTCTGCCTGCCCTGAGTCTCCTCTGGCCAGTCCAGCTCTGGGCCGGGCAGCCTGTCCCCAACTGTCCCCTCGGATGACACACACAGTGGCCACATGGACCTGAAGGATTCTCATCCACGGAGAGGTAGCTGGCTGTCCTGCCTGCTTCCTGTGGGCAGAGTTTCAGGGTCACCTGTCCAGGGTGATGCCCACACTGAGCATCCTGGTCAGATGGGGTAACGGACGGCCCGGGAAGATCACTGATCACCTCCCCATCCAGCTGGGGACTCACTGAGAGGCAGGGAAGGAGCCATGGGCCCATCTCGGCCTCCACCCCACACCCTTGGGCCTCAGTTTCACAGCAGGACTAATGGACAGTGACCTTGATCGATGCTTCTCAAAGCAGGGTCCCTGGATCAGCGGCATCCACATCACCTGGGAGCCTCCTGGGAATGCACAGTCCCAGGCCCCACCCCAGACCTGCTGAGTCCGAAGCTCTGGGAGCAGGGCCCTACAATCCTACCTGAGTTTGGGAACCGCTGGCCTACATTATCTGTAAATCTCTGCCCAGCGCTGATGTTCCAGGCTGTGGCTGGAGGGGTCGGGCGGGCCCGTGTCCGGGGAGTCGGGGTGGGGTGCAGAGAGGGTGGTCTGCTCCTCCTCCCCATTCCCTCCAGAGAGTGTCTTTTACTGTTGCCGGATGCACAGAAGTCACCCGACAGGCACTGGGAAGAGGCTGGCGTGCCTGCTTGCAGACCGCCGGCCTGGGGACGCCCGCTCTGACCGGCCCGCTCGAATTCCAGGGCCTACAAGTCCGCGCTGGACTACACCAAGCGCAGTCTGGGGATCTTCATTGACCTCCAGAAGAAGGAGAAGGAGGCGCATGCCTGGCTGCAGGCAGGGAAGATCTACTACATCCTCCAGCAGAACGAGCTGGTGGATCTCTACATCCAGGTGCAAGGGCGTGGGGCGCGTGCGTGCACACTCCGCTCCCCGGCTCGCTCGCTCCCTCGTCCCCAACCCGCTGCGGGCACCTGCTGCTTGCCAGCCGCCCCTGCCACCCCCACCCTGGACGCCCCGCCCCCCAGCATCTTCCACAACAATCCCAGCCCCCGGGGCCCAGACGCCTGTGCCCCTCACCGCGCCCACCACTGTGTTGGTACACAGCAAGTGCTCAATAAACGTGCAGATGATGTGTTCACTCGACTGACACACAGAAGAACTTGCTTCGGCAGCATATGGCCCGTCCCCTTAAAAAATGCATTCATCACGGGAGCTCCATTTCCAGCTGAGTTCCCAAACGTGACATGATTTTGAGTAAATTGAGAGACTCATGAGGCTCATGAGTGTTTCCATTTTTGAGCACCTGGTGTGTACTTCCCTGGGCTAGGGGCTGAGGATCCCAGAGCGGGAGCGGATGGCTGCGGGGGGGCGGGGAGGGCAGTTCTGACAGCTCTGACTCGGGGCCGCCTCGGGGCTGCGGACGGGTGTGGTGGTGAAGGCCAGAGGTGCATGGGAGTGTGGCGGGTTCTGGATTGCCCGCGGGGCCAGCCCACTCCTGTCCACTCCTGGTGCTTGTTGAGCACATGTTACGCGCCAGGCACCTTGCTGGGCCCTGGATGCATTGGAGAACGAACAGCCTTAGCATCTGGTGGGAGAGACGGGCAGGTGTTGCCAAGGGCCGCGGAGGAAAATAAATAGTAGAGGGGAAGCCGGAGGAGAGAACGCCAGGGTCCGGGAGCGGCCGGCAGGACTCAGAGCCCCCTCCGAGCTCCGTCCCAGAGTCCTCAGCAGCCCACACCTGCCGACTCCCGGGGCCCCAGCTGGATGGGGCTCCCCCTGCTACGTAGTGGGAGCTGATGTCCCCAGCTGCACAGGGGCTGGAAACAGGCCAGTCCCTGCTGAGGGACGGAGCTGTAGGAGAGGAAAGAGACACCCAGCGCACGTGTCGTGCATCCTCAGGGCCGCCTCAAGGGCCTGGGGGCGGCTGGGGAGGCTGTGAGCTCCCTCCAGAGCACTGTGGGTCTCATGAGAGTTCCTGCATGCCCACAGGTGGCACAGAATGCGGCCCTGTACACGGGGGACCCCAACCTGGGGCTGGAGCTGTTTGAGGCGGCTGGGGACATCTTCTTCAATGGGACCTGGGAGCGAGAGAAAGCAGTGTCCTTCTACCGGGTGAGCTGGGTGACGAGGGTGGGCCTCAAGGGCCGAGGCACAGGAGTGGGCTGGCAGAGGCCTCCCACCTGGACTGGAGGGCTGCCCCATGCACTCGCTTCGTTTCTCGGTGGTTTCACCTGGGGTGATCTGGACCCCCACCCCCAACCTGGGAGGGAAGGAGAAAGGAGGGACTGTTTGAGGGACAGAGGCAGCTTCAGGCTTACAGGTCCTCAAACAGCTGGGAGGCGAGTCCTGCTCCGTCTTGCAGATGAGGAAGCTGAGGCTCAGAGAGACAGGACAGCACGTCAGTGGGGGGACCGGCACCGGGGCCCAGGGCTGTAGGAGCCTCCCAAGGAGGCCGGCTTCTCCCTGCCCGCCCGGCTCACGGCGTGCAGCTCAGCCCTGGGGTACAGAGAGACATGCATTTTTAGAGCGCGGAGGGGTGTTGGACCCTCCTGGTCAGGCTCTCATCGCCCGGGGGGTGGGGGGCGGTCTGAGGTCACTGAGATGGGCTGCAGGTCACACCCCAGCTTGCTCAAGGCCCAGTGGCCCTGGGACTGTCAGGGCCTCTCCAGGCTGACCTTGCCCTTGGGGGCCAGAGCTGAATACAGACGCAGGGATGGAGGGGTGGAAGCTCCCTGCGTGTGTTCAGGGCCCTGGAGCGTCCTGGGCCGGGCCGGCCGCTGTGGGCAAGGCCTGACAACTGCCTGTGTGGCAGGATCGGGCGCTTCCACTGGCCGTGACCACAGGGAACCAGGAGGTGGAGCTGCGGTTGTGCAACAAGCTGGTGGCGCTGCTGGCCGAGCTGGAGTCGCCCCGCGAGGGCCTGGAGTTCGCCCACGTGGCCCTGGCGCTGAGCATCACCCGGGGTGAGCCCCGCACACCGGCCCCCGCGGGGCCTCCGCCTCCGGCACCTGCAGGGTGGGCACAGGAGGCCGAAGCCCAGGACGCCTGCGGGGCTGCTCAGGGCTGCAGCTGCCCTCTCTCCTGCCGGGGGGCTGGGCTGAGCGGCCCCAAATCTGCCCGGGGGACGGGTCGGGGCCTCTCAGGAAGTGTCCCACTCGCTGCGTGTCCGCTCTGTGGCTTCCTCCGCCTCTCTCCCGGCTGACCGGGAGGCCGGCTGGTGGCCCTGCATTGTGGACACCCAGGCTTCTCTCCCGTCCCTGCACACATGCCATGCCTTACTGGTGTCCGTCACCGCACTCTGCCGGCCCCACTGTTCCTGGCTGGCCACACCCCGGTCCCCTCAATGCCGGGCACCCTCTGTCCCAGCACCCCAGAGAGAGACACGCAGTGGGTGTGCAGCAGGGTGTGTGTGCAGGCCCCACGGGGAACGGGCAGGGACCTGGAGACAGGTGGGGGAAGGGTGGGGGGAGGGGACTCCTGCTAATGCAGCAGGGAGGGGCCCTGTCGTGTCTGCAGGTTGGCCAGAGTCCCAGTGCTTGGCAATGCACAGACTGCCTGACTCTGGGGCCTGCTGTCACCCCCTCCAGGCAGCCGTGTGCAGACACAGAGCTGGGATGTCCAGCTTCCTGACGTGGACAGGGCGCAGGCAATACTGGGCCCACTGTGTAGACGGGAAGACTGAGTATTGGGACGGGAAGTGACTGGCTGGAGCTTTGAGACAGTGTGGGCGTGGGGGTCGGAGCTGGTCTGTGCCCCCCACCCCTGCAGCTGTGACCTCACGCGCGCCCCCTCCCCTGCGTCCCTAGGGGACCGGCTGAACGAGCGAGTGGCCTACCACCGGCTGGCGGCCCTGCACCAGCGGCTGGGCCACGGCGAGCTGGCGGAGCACTTCTACCTCAAGGCTCTGTCGCTCTGCAGCTCTCCCCTGCAGTTCGATGAGGAGACCCTGTACTATGTGAAAGTGTATCTGGTGCTCGGCGACATCATCTTCTACGATCTGAAGGTGGGTGGGGGCGGGGGGCGGGGCTCGGGGCGCTTGGGTCCCTCTTGGCGTGGGGTCGCACGCAGACCCCCAGGTCGGGGTCCCGCCCTCCTCCAGCGTTGGCCCCCGTGTCTGCCCCGCGGAGCTCCAGGCCAGGCCGTGAGGAGCAGGCGTGGTCAGCAGACACCGTCCCAGGCCCTGGAGCCGGGGTCTCTCCCCCATCCGCTCCCAGCCCCGCAGTGGACACAGACCAGAGCCTGGAGAGCTCTCCCTCACTCCCCTACGCCCACCGATGCCCATCGCCCCACCCAGGGATAGCATTGCACTGCACCGCGGCCCTGCGCCGTGTCGGCTGAAGGGGGTGCGCCCCAGCCCAGGGCTAACTTCTCCCCCTCCACCTCCCCCCTGAATGCCATCTAGGAGCGGGGGGGCACTGGAAGACCCCCACCCAGTTGGTGGCCCCCAACTCCCTGCCTGGGGCAGCTTTGGCTATGCACTAGTGACACCTGGTGGTCAGAGGTGGTCACTGCGGCCTCCTGCTATGTCAGAGTCCCACAGTTCTGGGGGAGCTTGTGGGCAGTGGTGGGTACTGCAGCTTAGCCTCACTGCATTCCAGTCTGTGTGATCCAGGCTCTGTGTGACCCAGGCTTTGTGATATCCAGGCTCTGTGATTCCAGGCTCTGTGCGATCTAGGCTCTGTGTGATCCAGGCCATGTGCCATCCAGTCTGTGTGATCCAGGCTCTGCA